GAATTTTACATCATCACTGGATGTCTTTCAAAGTGCGTCGACACTCATCCATTGTGACACGTCTTCCTTAGGCGGACCGGAAGAATCCTGGATTGCATTGACATCGTGCAATCCTGCATATTCGTGGACAACACTGAACAACTAACTAATTTGTCTAAAGCATAATACAATTATCTTTCTGAAATAGAGACAATGTGGTATATTTCAGTTGTGTGGATAATCTTAGTTTAGACAAACGCAGAAAAAGTGGATACATTTTGCTGTCCAAGCTATGTCCATGATTACGAAAGCCTACATTGAACAAGATTTTTCTATACTTCGATACTTAGACGACCCGTCTTCAGTGGTTGTTCGGGTCCCAGCACAATCTTTATTTTTCGGATTTTTGCTGGTTCCACTACGCTGGAGTCCATAGGTCAGCCTGGCCAAAGTCTGCCCCGTAACCACTACAAATAGTCACCACCCTTGTGGATCAGAGGGATATTTGCTATCATGCTATTAGTTTAATACCAGGACGGTGGTGGTTCCAGGTAGTGGTCTTAGTTAGGCTTCCTGGTGCAGAAACCTCGGACTTCTTCTCAACGGGCCGCTAGAATGAATCACCACACTACACATCGCAGTCCGACACCGAGGAATACCTCCCAGCCACGATGAGGCAGTAGGCCGCTGGAAGGAGATTTTTCTACAAATAATGAAAATTTTGCACTAGCATTAATAATGCGCTAAAGAGTGTTTCTAGAAATATAACTTTAACGATGCTGAGATACTTGCAAAACTCCTGACCGCAGGTGTCTGCGGTGGGGAACGAACGCGCTATTGTCCTTTCCGGGAAGTAACGCGTTCACCACCACACCATGGGGGTCATTCGTTCCTCCTGTCTCTCAGCTGGCTCTGTCGATCTTTTGCCATCAGCAATCACCCGCCAGCGGGATTGATCTGGCGAGCCGAAATCGGCAACGAACCCAGTTAAGCTGAGGCTGCAGTTATAATAACAATTTTAACTTATTACTTAAGTGTGGTGGTGAACGCGTTACTCCCCGAAAAGGTCAATAGCACGTTCGTTCCTCACCGCAGACACCTGCGGTCCGGAGTTTTGCAAATATCTCAGCTTCGTTAAAGTTGTATTTCGCAATGTATTCCCTGCCGTTAAAAGAGTAGGCAGTAAATAATAGGCTAAAAAAGTGTTTCTAGAGATTAATCTTACACGTGAAGATTTATGGAACTTTAGCGTTACAGCGGATATTTGTGAGTGGTTTTGGAAACATCAAGTAGGATTATTTCTTGGAAATCAGTTATGACGGGTCTTTGAGTGAACACGTGAACGAGCGAAATTATATGACGAATTCATAAAATTTTACCAGTTTTTGATCAATAGAATTCATACCTGCGCATGTCGGTTAGCATGTAGAACAATTACGCCGTGTCTCGTTTGCTTTGTAGCCCTTAGTTGGAATGAAGTTTAGCATTGGCGCTGCACAAGGTGATACTCGACATTCAGTGCTCGTCGTTGAACATGTGTTGCCAGCAGGACAGTCCGTATCATTGCAGCTGCTTGCAAACATGGCAGAAGAATCTAGTGAAAGTGTTGTAGTTTTGCTTACTGCCTATTCTTTTTATGATAGAGTGTAACGTGAATTACCACTACAAGAATGCTGAGATGTGAGCAAAACTCAGAACCCCAGTTGATCTTCGAAGATGTGGTTACCCCTTCCGGAGGCTCACAGATTAACCATTGCATCGACCGATGCTCTTGGCTTGGATTTCTCTCGACCTATTTCGTACATTAATGATGCTACCAGCAATCGGCTGTCAACGAGAATGATCTAGAGAACACAAATCGGCTTTAAAGCTAGGTATAAGGTACACTGGAAAGGGTAATAAAGTTTTCGAAGCTCATTTGAGCTTCGGAGTTCTGCTTCTGCTCATATCTCAGCAGTCTAAATCTGGCATCTCAGTAAGCTGAGGCTAAAAAAAATAAAATTGAAAAATTAAAGAAAAAGAGTAGGTAGTCAATAAGCTGGCAGTGGTGTTCAATACCAGAGAATGAGCTTCTTTGTTTTAAAGGTTGAAATGTGAAGTGAGAAATATTGGCACTGCAAATCGAAATTAAAGTGCTTGAATACTTATTATTACTCAATACTTAAACAAATCAATTAGTCTTTATAGAAGCTGTGACAGCTACTCTAGGACTTTTCAAGACCCTCGTCACTGAAGGAAGCGACTTGAGTCCACGCAGCTCTGGTACCAATCCTTCGGTGCCGCAGGTATGTAGGTTTGATTGGCCCAACGTGAGTTGAAACGAGGGAATTGATAGCATTGAACGGTATGATTATCTACTTCACTACTCGTAGCGACCACCATATAGAGTGTTTTAATGATGGACGAGTTTCTCAGATCTGTAACCAACTCGAAATTAGGCGTATTCGGACGCGAGGAACGCGTGACAATGTGGCGTCGAGCGTTGTGTGTTAATGGTTTTTTCAACACTGCGAAAAAATGATGAATAAGCACGGCCGTCAAACTGGGTGGACGAAGATATGTTTTCCCTAGTGGGTAAGGTTGCTAATATTTTGAAACAGTTCAAAATTTCATGACATAAATCAATCAGGATTGGCCGCAGTTCTGACAGAGCTTTGTCATGAGAAGAAAAGGCATTTCAGAATCAAAAGCAGGCCACAGGTATCCTGACACAACTACCTTGAATAACCAGAAAAAGTTGTGTTTGAGCAGTAGCGATGTTTGTTGCATCGAACTGTCATTTCCCAAATCAGGCAACCACAGCTATCAGAAGTTGACAAAATATCAGCTTGAATACAATAATGAGGGAGCTGACAAGTTTCATGTGATGGTTTCGTAAGGTCAAATAGCAAAGAGGCATGAAAAAGACAGCGCCAAAACCTCGGTCATTCCAGGACTAGGGACTTCGTCGTGAAATTCTAAACAGCGTTAGTTTTGTTGTACACTCGTCTTTGCGTAGATCCATATGATCCACATGCGAGTTCTCTTCTGGTCCGTCCATCCTCTCAGAATGATATAAACATCTTTAAGTGTCTTTTACGGAATTTATAAGGCAAAGTTCTAATCGTTGCACAGATACATAGATGATGTTTTCCAGAAAAGAAGGAAAAAAATTACCACCAACTTTCATGTTTTATGTAAAAAACTACTAAAGGGTATAGACTAGAACTAGGGCTATAGAGCAGCTCGGTTCCAAATATAGGAATAAGAATGGATTCTGTTTACTAAGGAAATATGTTCGTTGCTTACCCGCAGGAAGTCTTCCTGGTGAAATTACCATGGAAAAAAAAGAAAACCGCCGAAAAAAAGTACATGAGTGACTGAATTGGATGCTCCATTCAAAGAAACATGCTAATGTTTACATTGCCTAGTGCTCAATATTATGCGCTCATAGTTCACGAGCTCCTCAAAACAGCTTTCCATAGGTCAGTTAGTTAGCCCTCATAAGCTGCAACGCAGGAAAGCAACGTCTTGTCTTATGATATCTGCATAACTGCCTAAAGCGAATCATGATTGAAATGAATTGGGAGAGATATTTATAAGTACCGAGGTGCTTTCGGTTATGCTAATAATTGTAGAATAAATGGGCGATTGCTGATGGCCTGATCGATAGAACTAGCTGAGAGACAAGCGAAACGAAACATCCGCATGGTGTGGTGAACACGTTTGCCCTCGGAAAGGACAATAGCGCGTTCGTTCCCCACCACAGACACCTGCGGTCCGGAGTTTTGCAAATATCTCAGCATTATAAGAAAGTTACCGTTGAAATTATAGAATGCATTTCCAATAAATGTAGTTGTAGTCACTGTTACAAAATATAATAGGATTAATGAATTATCCTTAACCCGGTTCCCAGGCTAGATCTCTAAAACAGTTTATGCATTGTTTTACGACGAAGGTGTGCGAACTTGATTGTTTGATTGGTTGTCGACCTAAGATTTTTGGAAAACTTCATTATTCATCAAAGTTTTAGAGAATGGAGGTATGCAATGATTGCGACACTAACGATAGTAATCTATCTCCAAAAGTCGTTGTCCACTCCTAGTTGGTCTTTGAATATTTCGACTGAGTGAGGATGCCTCATTCGAGAAGATGGCTCGCTGAAGATCTGGCTCGACAGAAAGGCGAAGACGCAACGTCGAGGCGAACAACAAGCATGGACCATCGACTCGGATCACCGGCTCTGAGGAAGACGAAGACGTCGAAACGTTAGCCGAAAATAAATATATTAATCAACCTCGTGCAAGCTTATCAAGAAAGAATACATATTGGTCTTTGAATAGTTGGTGAGGTTGAGTACACAGACGATGTTGATGAAGCATACTTAATTACTTGGACACTTGGATGCCCCGTGCTCACTGGTTGTGCGAGTTCCAACATGATTTCCACTTTACCATGCTTTGGTGGCTTAGCCATTGTGGTTCCCTGGAGTCGCGAGGTCGGCCTAGCTAATGTATGTCCCAGGACATCGCTGCCTTTGTGGATCAGAGAGACATTTGCCACGATGCGACTAGGTTGATACCAGGACGGTGATATTGGTTTACTCCTAGCTGGGTGCGTGAAGTCTGGATCGTCTTAAATTCAGTTTCACGTCACTATATAGAAGACTCGGTCTACAACTTCATCATTATGTTGTTTCTTTCTTCCTTTCCACAAAAGCAATTCCTGTATTCAAAAGTGAAAGAACCACAGAGCACCGCACAATCTTTTAACGCGGGCAATTTTTTTTTACTTTGTCCTACTTTTCAAACCACTGCTTTGATCTGTAGTAATGCTGATGTTCGGGTCTTCCTAGTTGTGCTCCCATTAACTCTATTCTCGTTACGAAAGGTCTGTTATTGATGACAATTGTACTTAATGAGACAATGTCGTATATTTATTTCACAATGCATTTAGAGGAATAAAAGCTCATTTAGAAAAAAACTGCTGAAATAATAAATAGCCTTCATGAGTTCGCAAATCGATATGAAAGCTGGTTATGACTAAGAAAAGTTGAACATCTCAAGTATTTGTTGCCAACAATGTGAACATTGAGCGAATATTCTTGACTCTGTGTGGGAAAATCCGGAATCGTACTGCCTCTTCGGCGTATCACAGGACTTTTGGCCATCCTGAAAAACCACATTTTTTAAACAACTAAATCAGATACAGGTTTATTCCTACGTCTTATTGAAAGGCTATGGTAAAGTATAAGATTTCTCCGGAAACCAGTGAAACGAAGTTCTTTTACTGTGTTTCTATTATCGCAAGTTTACTCGCAGTGAGTAGAGCATTCCACAGCCGACTTGTTCCTAGGACCGGAAGAAAAAAGGTGTGGAAGCATGGATCCATAGCAAATGGGCATTTACGCCCAGTAAATCAACGATGAATAAGGTTTTGATGGATAAATTTGGAAAATATGACGACAAGAAGACAACAAAATGTGACTACGGGGTGAATTCTGGAACACTATGGCGACAGTTGGGATCTAAGTGATCTACTTAGTCTTGTGTCAAAAGAATTGTGGATGAATCTCAGAAAAATCCAAACTACGTCATATATGGGCGTGACAAGGATAAAATTCAGCTCTTTACAAATCATTTACAAAACGAGTAGTTCTAATACGTCAAGCCTGGAGCAAGCAGTACGAATAGAAGCAGACTCCACCCACGGCCATTGTCATCTCAGAGAGATAAATAGAATTGGGAGTGACCGCTCATAGTAATTATTCTCTCAATTAGCAGCATTCATAAGAAATTATTAAAATTTGTGCTCTTTTAAAAACCAGGAAAACTTGAGAAACAACAGAATCATCTTTGCTTTTCTCCGATCTCGTTATTTAACAGGTATTAGGTTATGGCTAAATTTTACTATCTATATAATAGGGCGCGTGTGGTGCAGTAGTCGGAGGCGCCCTACAACACTGACATGGGATCGATCCCTGCGGCCGTGGCTCACAAAGCCTTCCATCCCCCGGGATCGACAAGTTGGCACCAGACTTATCTGAGAAGATAGCAGCGATGGCTCGGTAGGCCAACGCAAGTTATTGTAAAGGCCAGATGTGCATTCAATCTCCTCCAAACAATGATTAATGAAGTCGAATGTATGGCGCATTCCTCAGAGGTTGACCAACGCCGATAGCTTTCATAAAGCTTTAGAGCTTTATTGGCACAAATGAATAATAAACTCAGTTTATTTATTAATGTACTGCGTTGTCGTGCTACGAAGGTTTAATTGCTAAAATGACATCTTAGCATCGCCCACCTGAACGGCTTGAAATAGGAAATAGAGCAATGAACTCACGACCACAATTTCGAACGCATCTTCCTTTATCGTCTCGTAGGAAACCATCCCTACATCGACAGCCAGTGACGCATTGAAAAGTGCACGTTTGCTAAACGGCTGTTTCAACAAAGTAATCTGTTGTAACTTTTGAAAAAACTCACAGGAAATGGATCCCAACAGCTGGGTTCACAGGATGACCCGCAAGCATCAAACACTTCGTTGCGGTCACACTGGTTTAAAAGCGCTGTGATAAAATAAAAATTAAGAAAACTTTAAAAAATATGGTTTCATAGCTAAACAGTATTAGATGACAGTCATGTCTATGAAGAGACAAATAAGAAACGACATCCATTGTGGTTTAGTGGTTCTGTCGCTTTTCATTCTTTGAGCAATCAAATGAGGGATTTATGGTAAAGTCAAAATTAAGCCTCTCTACCAAGAAATGAGGCAGCTTTGTTATGAGAGAGTTGTTATAAAAATTTCCTCGGTAAGACAATTATTAAATTTTCAAGACCGAAGTCCTTCTATTGTTTTTCTTGATGAGCAAACAAGGTTGGTGCTGTAACATTTATTAGTACACAAGAGCTGACTCTTCGGCGATTTCGCCTTCTTCGGAGCCTGGAAAGGTCAGATTGAGACGCAATCTCTGCTCAGCCGAACGCTTTCTATACCTAAGCAGGTAAAAATTAACATATGAGTTTGCATTCGCATAATAAATAGCCCTCTTTAAACACCCACCGTTTTGTTCGTTATAAGTCACCGAGTTAACTGCTGGAGAGCAGCAGCACGTAGTCTTACGTGGGCGAGGAATGTGCATGGCTCACGTCAGTGGATCAGCCTGAGGTATGCCGCAAGGACATGCGTGATCACAAACTCTCCTTTGCGGTTCACTTTTGGTTTTTTGACTTTCTCCAAAGCGCTTCAAGACTTTTACGCCCTAACGCATTGGGTTCCTGTCCGAAAATAATGACTTCTACTTCAAAATCTCCGCAATCTTTGCATCCTATGCGCCTAGTGAAGCGTTTGACAACAATCTATTTTAAACTTACCGTCTAGGCGTTCATTTATACGGATGCGGAGTGGTCTAGCTGTTTCGCCAACGAAACGAATACCCACACGCTTTACAAGAGATTACGTACACAGTGCCCGACTCACGCAATCACCGTTCCTAACGCTAAGGCAGATTATGCAATTTTGCGTTGTGCATAGACAGTCATAGATGCGTTTACGAAGCAGCTGGCGTATTAGAGTGTCCGGCATTACTTCAATGACTGCCGCTCTCTTGTTGTGCATGCAGTGGAGTCTTTTCGAAACACGTTGCTCACAAGGGCCGCTTTTGTGTATGAATGATGCAGGAAGAAATAATTAAGCATTGTGTTATTGTTACCTCATCATAGCTATCATTAGGAAAGTAATCATTTTCGGATAGGTTGTTGTGAAAGCTCAAAAAAGGAAGCCAGCTTTTCTTCTGTTTCTCTGGATGGAAATCGTGTGCTTTGCCTATTCGTTTAATAACTTAAACTTTCGTCCATCTCCTTTTGTTTTAAACAGATGAAAAACATTCATGGCACATCTACTGTAGAACTTGAAGTCTTGACTTGAAGCCGAGTACGGAGGCCTCAACTTTGTACACAAACGCAAATTCGAGTCTAGAAGCCAGCTGCTGTCCCATTGCCAACCGTACCATTTGCACGTAATATTTCCCAGATCATCTGGCAATCGAGCAGTTCAGGCACTCTTTTGGGAGCCTTAAGTTGTTGGGTAGACAAGCCGTACATATTGATTCCACCTTCATGCTCAACAAGAAGTTCGAGTATGGTTTTGTATTGTGGAGTCGCACGTTGGTGTTGAGCGCAGTAATGTGAAAGGACTCCATCACGTGTGCGTTGTTAAGAAGCACGTTCTGTAGACGTTCTAGAAACATTTGGGTGTTCGTAAGGTGCACTGGATTATGTTTGAGCAACAAGGTAACTTTTTAGCTTAGAAACCATGCTATTCTCTCCGTTGGCCCGTCTACACAGCTGATAATGGGTCCGACCTTGCAGGATGATAGATTCGTTGAAATCAAAACCCTTAATCACTGTAGCAAATGAAAGTTTTTCCCTAAATTTACAGCCGCACAAAAATATGGTGTGTGAAATACTAGAGAATTAATAAATTCATACATCACTAGATTATCAGTTAACGATAAAAGGTAGAAATAAAATAAGAAAATATTTAAAAAATATAAAATATAAGAGGTAGAGTTTGCAGTTATTCCCGGCCAGTTAGATGTTGAGATAACTGGGGAACATTTAAGTGATGCTACCCATTATCGCGATCATTTGGAAAGAAATACAAAGGTCAACACCAAATGCTAAACCGTCATTGGGTCAAAGGGGCAACGGCGACAGGCATAAAATCATCCGTTATGTCGGGCCTTCAAATGGATAAACCAACATGGCACACGGGCCAACGGATAGAATAACATAGTTTCAAAACCAAAAATTTATTACCCAGTTGCCTAAATATATTTCAGCTCACCTTACGAACACCCAAATTTTCCTAGAACAAAGATCTCATATCAACCTCTTGCAAGCTCAACAACATAAACAAATGTTGATTATTATAGCACTGAGGTTAAATGATGCTCGGTTTCAAAATTACTGTTCCTAGAATGTCTACGGAACGTGTCTTGTAACAACGCGTTCGTGATGGAGTCCCTCGACGTTTCCTCGCTTTACACAAGCGTATCGAATGGGCTTCGTAATGCAAGCCATCCTACTTTCAAGTTCTTGATGAACACAAAGGACGAATAAATATATATGGCTTGTTTATCCAGCAGTTTATGGCCCTCTCAAAAGAGTGCCTAAAGTGGTCCAATCAGGTGGTGTGGGAAATATTACGCGCAAATGAGACGGTTGGGATTGCAGCAGCGGCTGGCACCAAGTCAGTCCTGTCATTGGGTTTATGTCTAAAAAAGAAGCCCTCGTTATCGGTCTCCGGCCGCTACTCTACTATAGATATACACGTGATTTCGAAACCGACTTTCCCTGGACCTCGGTGTCACTAATCAATATGCATTCTTTCTTTGATGAGCTTACACGAGGTTGATAATGATGTTTATTTTCGGCTAACGTTTCGACGTCTTCGTCTTCCTCAGAGCCGATGATCCGAGTCGATGGTCCTCGCTTGTTATTCGCCTCGACGTGGCAGCTTCGCCTTCGTGTCGAGTTAGGTCTTCTTCAGTGAGCCATCTCCCCGAATGAGGCACCCTTGCTCAGTGATGCCCTTTTATACACGATGCTGATGGTCGATATAATGATAATGTCCGGTGATAACAACTTGTTTTTCTTCCGGACATACATTATTGCGCACATCGAAAGTCGGTTTCGAAATATTACTACGCTTTGTGCTAGCTGATAACAACACCGACTTCTGCACGATGTGCGCAATGATGTATGTCCGGAAGAAAAACAAGTTGTTATCACCGGACATTATCATTATATCGACCATCAGCATCGTGTATAAAAGGGCATCACTGAGTAAGGGTGCCTCATTCGAGGAGATGGCTCACTGAAGAAGACCTAACTCGACACGAAGGCGAAGCTGCCACGTCGAGGCGAATAACAAGCGAGGACCATCGACTCGGATCATCGGCTCTGAGGAAGACGAAGACGTCGAAACGTTAGCCGAAAATAAATATCATTATCAACCTCGTGTAAGCTCATCAAAGAAAGAATACACGTGATTGTTTTGTCATTTCCTGTACTCAGAACGTGATGAACAATTTTTTGAATTATTCTACCTGAGAACATTAAATTCACCCGGGAGAAACCGAAAGAGACCTGGCTTCCATATCTTAACGTTCAAATTAACTTATCAACTAGCGGTTACATTCGAAAACCAAGTAACAAAAACATCCTGGTCCATTTCCTCTCTTCGCTCTTTCACGCGCAAAGAGGGCGAGCGTGAGAAACATGAACAGCCACCTTTGGATGCACAAATAGCCTGCTAAAGGAGGAATCGCACGAATTGGCTCAACAAATGGTCACATCCAATGGCTACGAAATGGTCTCTCCACGAGATAAGTTTGCAAGAAGAACGACGCGCCAAAACGAAATACTTGGCCAAATGAAAATCCTCTTTATGCTGCCCTTTGTTAGTGATGAAATAAGTGTAGCTACAAAACGATGCTTAAGAAGAGCAGGTCTAGAGGAATCGGTAATGATGACAGCGATTCCACCGAACGCTCTTCGTCATCAGTTAGCTCGTAATCGCCTACTTGATCGTTTGTGTGGAACAGAGAACTGCGTAATCTCACCTAATGACACGGATAGTGATTGCGTGAGTTCAGATATGACATATCTGATTTTTTAGTACTTGTGGAGACGATATATTGGCGAAACGGGCAAGTCATTATTTATCCGTGTAAAAAACACCTAGATGCCAAACGTAAGACAAGACAAAATACGTCACTGGAGACTCACAAGATGCAAAAGTACAGCGGAAACGAATTTGTTATAAAAGTCACTATCACAGTGATGCTGAGACATTTGTAAAACTTCGGACCGTGGGGAACGAACGCGCTAATACCTTTTCACCAGTGGTTAACCCCGCCGTGGAAAATTGTACTAGTAGGCAGCAAATGAAAATTTAAGAAACCGCTATCCTCTCACGAGATGCCAAAACACCTACGCGAAAAATTTTTAGACTTTTTGGATAAATTCCAAGGATCCTAGAATGAATAGCAAGAAGAAATGCACAACTGCTTTTTGATATGGAGTGTTGCACTCATCGACCGTATGCGACTCTGATCATCTGTTCTTCCTCAGTGGAAGGGACGTGAAAAACGGTAGGCTTTTTGAGGCAGCTGTTGATAATGTGGTAACCATTCAGATTTTCAACATTCTGTTTGTGTTAGTGGAGCGTTTGGCTTAGTAAATTGCATATCAGTATACCCTTCTAGGCTCTGAAAAAGGCGAAACTCCAGAAATGTGAGCTTTACTGTAATAAGGGAAGACGAGAAAGTAACATCTCTTGTTTCTCAACAAGAATCGAGAGAACATCGCTTTTCTTTCGTTTATTCTCATCAGATATTCTCAATCTCCAACTGCGATGAGATTGCTTGATTGAAATACTTTACCATTCTGGTTCTGGCAAAGAAGGTCAGGCCACTTTTTCACTTTTTCACTTCACTTTTTATTCCACTTTTGTTATTGATCCATT